AATAGCTTTGATAAACTGAAATCGGCAAGGGATGTGGTCACAAGGACGGGACATTCGCACGCTCTGGGCTGCTTGCATCGCTATGTGGGTGGCATGGGCTCGTCGCAGCATCTGAGCACCAGTGTGTCCATCCTGCTTGCCTTGGGCCAGGACAGTGCATCGCCCGTGGTGCAGGCTTGGTCGCTCTATGCTTTGGCCCAAATTGCCGACTCTGGAGGACCCATGTTCCGCGGGTATGTGGAGGCCACGTTGACGCTGTGCTTGAAACTCCTTCTCACCGTGCCCCATGCCCACGTGGACGTGCATCAGTGTGTGGGACGCGTAGTGAATGCTTTGATCACAACCGTGGGACCGGAACTACAAGGAGGAGGTGGAGCAGTGGCCAGCATGAGAGGATCCTTCCTCTGCTCAGCGGCTCTTCTTCAAGCCCACGCCGATCCCCTCGTCCAAGCCGAGGCCATTGGTTGTCTGCAGCAGCTTCATCTGTTTGCCACCAAATCCCTTCAACTGGAGGAGCTGGTGCCCACGCTGGTCGGAATGCTGGCCTGCAACTATTTCATACTGCGAAAGGCCTCCGTTTCCTGTCTCCGCCAGTTGGCCCATCGCGAAGCGAAGGAAGTGTGTGACCTAGCGCTAACCATCAACGCTGAGCAGTTTCCGGACTTGATACTCACGGAGTACGGACTGCCAGGATTGCTCTTTTCCCTGCTTGACACCGAAACCGATGCCGAGATGCTGAGAAACATCCACGACACGCTCACTTCAATGCTACAAATGCTGGCTGCGGATAATCTCAGCTCCTGGTTGAGTCTTTGCAAGAATGTTCTAACCGTGGCTGTTGAGGGTGGACTCAATGATGATCCCACTGCCGGTGAACAGGGCAAGGGAAAGGATGCCGGCGGAGATCAAGACGAAGAGGACGACGAGGAGGAGGAGTATGCCGATGATGTAACAGAGTACCGAGCCGAGGAAAACACTTCCACCCATCCGGCAGTGCAGCCGAGGTGGCCCACACGTGTTTTTGCCGCCCAATGCGTGAGGCGCATCATCGCTAGTTGCGAAGCTGCCAGCTCCGTGCACTTTGACCTGCTGCAGGCAAAGGAGCAGCAACTGATACGCTCCCGCGGGGATTATCTCATCCTACATTTGGCGGAACTTATTCGAATGTCCTTCATGGCCGCCACATCGGATTCGGATCAACTGAGACTAGAAGGTTTGCGCACGCTGCAGGAGATCATTGATAGATTTGCCAACGTTCCAGAGCCGGAGTTCCCTGGCCATCTACTGTTGGAGCAGTTTCAGGCTCAAGTGGGGGCCGCTTTGCGTCCGGCGTTTGCTCCGGATACGCCATCCCATGTCACGGCAGCCGCCTGTGAAGTTTGTTCCGCTTGGATAGGCTCGGGAGTAGCTCACGATATTGGAGATCTGAGACGAGTTCACCAGTTGCTAGTGAGTTCCCTCAGTAAGCTCTCTTCCAAGACCAACAGCACTCAGTTGTACAATGAATCGATGGCCACGCTGGAGAAGCTAAGCATCCTCAAGGCCTGGGCGGAGGTCTACATTGTGGCCATGTTGGGAAACGGAAATGCTCCCGCCTCCCTCCTGAATCTCCAAGCTCAACAGTCTGGCCTGCAACCCCTTACCAATCTAGATGCTGATCAGGATGTTCCCGATAGTCGCGGAGAGAGTCTGCTGGGACTGGTGCAGCCAGAGCTCCAAAATCTATCCACGCATTGGCTAAGTGCCATGAAGGATCACGCCTTGCTGCTGCTACCCTCGGAGTTCCAATCGCAGCTCCCCCACGACGGCGGTGCCTTTTACACCACGGATACGATAAACTCCTCGAAACCACATTATATGACCAGTTGGCCCCCAATCCTCTACGCCTCCGCCTTGTGGCTGCGGGATGAGGGCTTTGCCCGCCATCAAGACACAAGAGAAACTGCAGCGGAATCGAACAATAACCAGATAACCCATGGCTCTCTGTCGGCAGACCGCTTCCACATGATTTTCGGCATTTGCATGGAGGCCCTTTGCAGCATGAGAAGTTCGGAGAGGCCCAGAAACATTGTGAGTTGCCTACGCTCGTTGCACAGCATTTTCGATTCGGATTGGGCCAGGAAGCAGTTGGTCAAGGATCGAGCCCTTACCATTGAGCTCTGTCACGTTCTGCACAGACAGATTCTCACAAGAGACGAGTTGCTGGTGCAACTGCTGTGCGTGGAGATACTAAAGCAAACGATTCGCGCTGCAAGGGAAGATTTGGAGAGGAAACGGGACGATAATGCCAATTCGGAAGATGGAAAGGATGGAGAGCGGCTGGGGGAAGATGACTCCATGCAGCCAGGAAGTTCCCATGTCTACGCCGTTCTGGAGGTTTGTCTTTGCCTGTTTGTCCGCCAAATACCAAGCATGAACCCCACGCGGCAAGGTTCCGGTGGTGGCTCCGGTCTGCAGTTGGACTTTGCCTACGCCAAAATGGCCACAGGATCCTCCTTCTTCTCGGTGCTGGGCGATGACAACGGCCTGCTGGTGGCCAGCGGTCTGCAGTGCGTCGAACAGCTATTGGATCTGTGTACTCCCAAAGGTGCCCTAGCCATTCTGCCCACCGTCCTCTATATGACAACCAGTATTGTTAAGGAAATCGCCAACAAGTCGGCTATAGATAGTACCATACTGGCGAATACAAGTGCGATGAAGGCTGCCCTGCAGTGCCTGCGATCCGTGTGCGTTCACAAGTGGGGCAAAGTGGAGGACACAACGGAGGAGTGGCAACAGTTGCTTCAGAGTGCCCTGGCCACTATTGTGGATCTGACCAAAACGGCCGGCGATAACGAGGAGAGGAGAGTCGATGAGGTCACCATGCTGCTGGCAATCACTGTTTTTATCCTACACACGCCCGCCTCCGTAGTGGCCACGCCCTCGCTGCAATATCCCTGCATCAATCACTTCCGGCAGTGCCTGCAGTCGGAACATCTCTCCGTGAAATTGCGCTGCATCGAGACTACTCGATCGATCTTCGCGCGGGCGGAGCTGAAGACGGCCACTCCCTACATCCACGCACTCGCTCCACGGATGATCGAGTCCTTGTATGCAGAGGCCAGCAAGCTGCCCACAAGCGAGCTGGAACTGCAGGTCACTCTGGAGAGCATCGTCACCGTGGAACAGCTTATCGACTTGTCAGAGCCACAGCATCGTAAGTAGATGGGTATATTGCAACCTTGTATTGTCTTACTTTGAGTTCCGGGGTACTCCTGTGATAGCCTTTGAGGGTATACAACAAATTAATCCTCTTAAATTTATTTATTTTGTTCTACATTGGCCCAAACAAATCAATTTTAAACAGGAGTACCCTTTTTTAAAATAAAGTGTGTTTAAAATCGGAACGCGATACAAGTTTTTACCGCCTTTCTAGTTAACAATCTCCCTTTTCCTCCTTAAAAAATAAATAGTCTTTGCATTTTGTACTGCGCTGCTCCCATTTCAATCCGTTTTCTTGAAATGTCTCTTCGAACCCGGCCAAAAAATGTATTTAAAAACATATTATAGGAACTGCACATTTCTAAAAAAAAAAAACATAACAAGAATATACATTATTATATATTTGCTCTTTTCTCTGTCTTCTATTTTAATCAACTCACAAATCATTTACAAAACACTTGTTTCAAAAAATTACAAATAACCAACCGTTAGGAAACATGAACTTGCTACAAGGTAAATAGAAGACATTCACGTTTCATGTTAAATGGCATTTTAGAAATATAAGACAGTAAAACGTTTAATTAATAATTTTGCCTTTATGAATTTTTGAACACACGTTGTTAGTTACTACTACCCATGATGATAATTTAAGAAATACATTAATCAACCCTTGCTCATTCAAGAAATCTTTTAATTTATGATGCTTGTACTGTCTTGTAGTTTTGAAGTGCATCGTATGTTGCACACTCGATGTTTTTCAATGCACCAATTTCATAGAATAGCTAAACGACTAGTTTTAAATGACACAAAAGATCACGCTTTAAATGTTGCATGTAAGTTGTAAGAAGGTGTATGTGGATGGGTCTGTGAATGGTTGTTACCTATATGTCTCCGGAATTAAGTTGAATTAATTAATAAAATATACTTCGCCTCCTCTTAACAGACATACAAATGCTGACGCTGCTGGTGCCTGTTCTCATTGGATTCCTGGCAGAGCCGAGTAGACTTAGGACGCTGCCCAAGTACCAAAGACAGTTGCACGACCAGGCGCTGCAGTGGCTGCTGAAAATCGGACCCAAATATCCGCAGGAGTTCAAGGCGCTGATGGCCAAGACACCGGAACTGCGCCACAAACTGGAAGCGGCCATACGCAGTCAACAGCAGTCGATAAATAGTGCCCAAAAGGCAACCGAGGCGCAGAGAAGTCTGCTGGCCAAGCCACAAAAGCCCACAATCAAGCTGAAAACGGATTTCAGTAACTTCCAATAGGAGAGGCCACTGGAACAAAAAAAAAAAAACAAAACAGAAATAGTCAACAACCTGCTAATGCTGTCGAGAAATGCTTTGCATAGAACTGTTACCACATGTACAATAACCTCGATCGGTTATTTTGACAATGAATATTTAAACAATTCTAGAAATTTAGCCTTTGGTTCATTTTTTTAATAGTTTTTATCTGGATGAAATTATGTATTTGTTTTGCAAAGGTCTTTGAAACCCAGTAAACGTTAACTTGCGAAAATTTGTATTGCATTTTTTTAATGCAGTGTGTTTAAGCAAAAAAATATATTTTCATAAGTCGATTTTTGTTTTCATTTTTGAGACCTTTTGACCAGAAAGAAGGAAGATTAAGATCATTTTTTTCGTCTTCATGGTAAACTCAAGAAAGGTTTTATACTGGAACACTTCATACGTTTTTCCAACTAAAAATGGATTTGTACCTTACCATTATGACGAAAAATCAAGTCTTTACTAACCGATAAAATAGTTGGTTAAAAAACATTCAGAAACTTGAGCCACCCTGAGGCAAATCGCTAGGTTACTCAAACGGTCCGGCATTTGAACTCGATATATGTGAAACACAATGAAAGTACCTACAAGTTTATAAATTATCTGTTAGCTATTGTAGTTAATTATTTAACAACGCGATATAACTTAAAAATAAAAACTTATAAAGCTTATTTATAAAACATTCTTATGGAACTATGTACTCCAACTCCATCTCCTGTTTTACAGTACTTATTATCTCGTCCTCGCTAAGAGGCTCCAATTTGAGATTTTTCTTTGGTTCCGGTTCGGTATCGGTATCGGTCAAGATAATATTCGTACCCATTTTTATGAAATCTGGCGTGGGTCGTGGCAGCGCCACCAAGGCAGCAGGCAGTTCCGAAAAGAGATGCGATTCCAAGCGACTGAGAAGAGTGGTGCGGTAGAAGAGAGCCCGCAGCCGCTGTCGGAAAAGCTGAATGGGTGATGCAGATTCATTATAGTCGGATACGTGGGCAGCCGGACCCTGCTTGCGGCAATCTCCGGACAGAATGCACATTGCCCGAAACCCCATCATCGTGGACCAGTTAGGCGGCAAAAGTGGACTCTTTAAATCACACTTCTCGTCTGGCAGTTTTCTTATCATTATATTGTAACACTTGAGCAGTTCAGTTGGCATGGGGATGTTCTGCAGGAGCGAGCTTTGGATCGGTGGCTTATATGATAGGGCCCTGACCACATAGGCGAGATTGTAAGCATCCTTTGGAAGTGGAAAAATTGTGGGAAGTGTCAGCGGCAGATTGTAAGCGTACATAAAGAACTCGCACAACTCTATATCGACTTTCGACAACTTGGAAGAATTTTCTGCCTTTGAATCGATTTTAGCCTTTTTAGAAGGGGGCCTTCCCTTCCATGAGCCTTTTATCTGCTCAGCTATAGCCAATGATTCCGGGTCCTCTTGCCATTCCTGCAAACGCTGTGCCCAGTTTTCGGAAGTAATTACGGACATCTTCTTCGATCGTCGTCGAGGCAAATCTTCTACTTTTGCATTCGGGTTCTTTTCGAGGAATTTTTTTATGACCAGAAATCGGGTTCGACAGCTGGTCCGAGAGTGATTGCCTAGAAATGTAGCGCAGTTTAGCCACTGGGAGGCCCCATGCTGGGTGACAAAGCTCATCAACTGGGCGTCGTCCTGAACCGACCAGGAGTCGGTCTTGTTGCGCTGAGCCAAGACATTATGGTATCGAGTACGCAACTGCGTCAGCGATCGATTTGGGAAGAGGGTACGTGGAAAGCAGTGAAACTTGCCATTGTACTCCTCTACGGCGGCGAACAGCATCATATCCTCTTTCGTACTGAAGGCTTCTGCAAACACAGTGCCAATAAATAAGTAAAAATAAGTTTTCAATAGGGCAAAATGGAAAACGGAATCTATTTAGAGAGTATTCAGGATACCCACCGTGACTGATGCTGGGGTGCAGCACGTAGTAGTAACGCCCAATCAACGTCGACTTGGACCTGCCTGGAAAGTACTCCACAACCTTCTTCCAATTAATTACACCATTTGCCGTATTTTTCTCAGCCAACTCCCGGAGTTTGACGTTGTCCTCTTCGCTCCAGCGGGAGGTGGGCTTTGGATCAAGCAGATGACGAAGGGCGGTGTGGAAACGAATGAAGCACTGGTAGTCGGATCGCCGGTCTAATGACTTGGCTATTAGCTCCCAGTTTTGCATCCGGTTCGCAGAGGCCGCCGTCATCAGGATCTCGTCCTCCTCCGTCGACCAGTCGTCGCGCTTGAGGTCAGGGTGCAGGTAGACCCGCCACATCGTCTCACAGCTATACGGAGAGTGACGATACTCCACATCCAGGGTGCTAATTTGGTTCCAATCGACTGTGAAGCTCTCGTCTGCCGTGGCCAGCAGACTGACCAGAGTCTTTAGGTGCCGCTCGATTGGTTTTCGTTTCCGGCTGCCGCTGGGCGTTGTGCTGTTCCTCAAAGCAATATGGTCAAGTAACTGCAAAAAAAAAAAAAAATTAACATAAAAAATAACATTAAACAACACAATAATAATGTAGCATATGGGTAATTCTCTACTGTCCAATGCGACATTCGTACGCACTCAAACTGCAAAAAAACAAGCTCCAAATGTTTGTATTATTTTTACAAAAGGCAATTTTTTAAGCTCTTGATAAGTACTATAATTTGTGCTAAGACTGAGTTTGGGCAATTGTTGGTTTTCAGGATATTAACAAAAATCTTAGCTACACAGACAGAATTGATTTTATTGAAAACACTGATTTCAGCAAAACGTGATCGAAGATTTAATGAAATTAATTTTAAAACGCTATAAATTAATAGTAAATAGTAAATAAAATTGCAGTCTCCAAAATTTGAACAAAATCTGAATCATTTCGAAATGCCATATCCCATAACAGACCTGCTCACCTGTTGTTTGATACCCATGATCACGTTCTTCTTGTCCAGCAATGTCCATACGTGGCGAGAGTGCATGTCGAAGTCGGTGGGAAACATTTCCGTGTGACAACGCGCCTCGTAGTCTTCGTTGTTGGGGCAGCTCCGTCCATCGATGTCTCGAAAGAATAGGTTGCCTTTAAAGCGGAACGTACCCTTCCGCAGGATGGCCCCGCTCCGGTTGATGGAGTCCTGTCCGAACTGGGAGCGTGGCCTTAGGCGGCGCACCAGGATCTCCTCGTTTCGGGCGAAGCGGGCCCGCACTGTTTGCAGAACGGCCAGGATTTGTGCACGGACTTGCAGGAGCCGTCTCTGCATCTCCTGATTCAGCATCAGTGCGTTGGCATCACTTGGTTCCACGGTAGTCTGAAGCAGGGCGGCGATCTCGGCCAGCAGCTGCTGCTGGCTCAGCCGCAAATCCCCCACATCGCTCATCCTGCTTTGTTTGTTTTGATTACTTTACCAGGGAATGCGAATCCGCAATATGGCGATGGACTAAACGCCCCGGAACACTACCGCAAGTTTCCTATCGATTATCGATATCGATGGGCTGTTTATACCCTCTTCCCACAAAGTGCATCCGTGTGAAACAGATGTGAATTTTAACATATATGGAGCTCCGATTCTGAGCTGAACAGCTGCGGCTCATTAACATAAATAATCAATTAATTAATTATAATTGAATAATTAAAAACAAAGATTGTTGAAGTGGGTACTGCAAAAGTAATCTGAGTAATTTACCAACTTTAAACTGTTATACAACCGCAAAACCTTAGGTTGTACCTGATTTTATTGACAGTTAAATCCGCATAATTGTGCATACCTCTTCCTTTAGCAGTCTCCAGTTTGCAATTTTTCCTTGACATCATTTTTTACGTTTTCGATGAGAATTCTATTTTTTCACTCTCAAGAGGATGGGAAGACACTATAAAACGCATTCTGCCTAATGTATTATTTATCCTTCTAATATTAGATAAAAATATAAGTCTCGAAAATTCAAAAAAAAAAAACGATATTTCCCTGTTTTTTTCATTATATCTTTATTGTCGCCAACTTCGACCTATCTATTCGTTATCAAGACTCTAAATTTAGAAAATTTTAAAATTATCGGAGGTCAAGGCTTTTCGAAAGTTTATCCAATACCCGTTACTTATTAAACCACTTTTAATTTTTTTTATTTTTAATGCGTCATTTAGCTTTATGGGAGTTCCTGTGTGGATTAGGCTAAATGGGACTTAATGCGTCAATGAAATCAGGCTATAAGATGGAAATCAGCAGCGACCGATGACACTGCCTATCGCTAATCGTCTATCGGTGCTGCTCAAGGAAACAACAAAAGAGAACAGAGAGAAAAAACGCGTAGTAGCAACTTAATTAACAAAATTTGGGGTGAATGCGATAGCATAACATGGACGATGTCCCGGTCAAGGTAGTTGAGCGCTACAAACCTCCGCCAGCCATATTCCACCTGCCGCAGACAACCGTCAACCGACTGTCGCAGTTCCGGGAAGACTTCTACACGGATCATCCGGATTACCAGTATGACGGTCAGCTGGAGCGGGCTGTGGTGAGTCAGGCGCATCGATGGCGCCAACTGCGTCGCCAGCAACGTGAAGAGCGCGTCAGTCGCCAGGAGCGCCGCAAGGAGGCCGGCCAACGGGCGTTGGAAGCCAAGCAGAGGGAAATGCTCGGAGCAGTTGACTATCCCAGTACGGAGGACCTGTCGTCGGACACGGAGGAGGAGGAGGAAAAGGAGCAGACACCTCCACCTCCGACCACAGAGTCACAAGACTCCCCGCCCGACGCAAAGTCCACTGGCGTGTGCAATTTCCACAACATCTTGCAACCCACCATATTGAGCACCACTCCTGTGGCCAGTCCGCAGACGCTGCACAAGCGGAACAGCAGCCTGAACTACGCTGACTTCGAGTACAACATGAACTCCACGCCCTTCGACAACATCGAGCTGAAGACCATCAACGATCTGGACATACTGGCCCAAGTGCTGCACCAGACGCAACTCGAGGAGCGCAGGGATCAGCAGCAGCAGCAGCAGCAGCAAGAGAATCGCCCCGAGGAGGAGCAGCCTCATCGGGATGTGCCAGTTCCAGTGGAGCTAACGATGACCACGCTGGCGGAGACCAAAGCGACGCTCGACAGCGTCAATTTCCATGTTCACTGTGATGATGAGGGCAGGTGCGAGTCCAACCACATTCCAGCCACGCCCCACCTGACGCCCATGTTCAGCGCTTCCGCCCAACAGCAGCTGCACAATCCGGAGCACTACCAGGTGGGACACTATTGAGTAGTAACTCCGATCAAATTCCTGGCTAGATATTTGCCTTGGGCTCAGAACGATTGACTTTATTCTGTTAACCTGTTTGCAATCGCTATTTTATTATCAATTCGTTTATAGTTTGCATCCACAGTTCAGATAAATCCATATTAATACTAAAATTTAAATAAAAGAGGAAGTACTCTGTTTATTAACTGTTTGTTTGAATGTTATCAATTTTTATTGGAGGAAAATAAAATCAGAATTTGGTTATTTCGTTTCCTAACGACAACAATTATATATTATATTTATTTAAAATATCTTCTTATGTCAGACGGTCAAATTGTAAAAAAGAAAAAATGTTTGGTTTATTTTAATTTGGGAATAAACTTTTCTTTTCCCTTATTTATTAAAAAAAACAATTCAAGCTATCGCAAACACCAAGAATACCAAACGAGGGCACCAAAATCATTGTTGTTCAGTGTAACTTTATTTAATCTTATGTATTGTGAAAGTTGTGAAATGAATTCGAGCTTTAGTAGAGCAATGGTTTCTTAGTCAATAATATATTGTTCATACATTTTTGTTAGTTGCTAAATGGTTGCTAAAATAAATCATGCATTGCATATAATATGTTTCTAACAGTCTTTGAAAAGTCTTTTCTGAACATATCTCTTTAAGGCAAGGAGCTCGTGCGATATTATCTAATAAATGGCTATCATTGCAGTTTTACCACATTCAGGGCCACCAGCCACTCTACTCCCCGCAGCAGCACACTTTCCAGCATCAAACTAATACAGACAACTACTACTTCAACGGATTCGGTACGCCCAACCATTTGATGGCGCCTCCAGCGCCTTCCTCCGTGCTGACCCTGAGCAAATCGGAGGACGAGGCTGCCACCAAGTCGCGCAGTGTTCCCGACATCCTGCGGGAGCTGAAGACGGAGCTGCAACAGGCGGAGAAGCGACGAACGCGCCTGCACAGCCACAACGAGGAACAGCAGCCAAAGATGGAGGTGGCGGTGGACAGGAACTCCTTCAAGGAGCTGGCAGGACCGGCACAGAAGATGGCTCAACGAATCAGCTCCATGGGCTTTCCTCTGGAGCGGGTGGCCAAGGTAGTAAGCCTGTGCGGCATTGATGATAAAAAGGTAAGACCCTTAACGAACTCTTGCAAGAGACAGTCACTGGAAATATGTTATGTTCTTCCCAGATTATCGAACACCTCATCCCACTGAGCGAGCTCATAGACCTGGGCTTTGACGAATCGAAAATCTCAGAGGCGCTTCTTAGGTTCAACAATAACAAGGACAAGGCGCTGGACTACCTAATAAACTAGTTCAATTCAGGGCAAACCTTTTGATACGGCCAGCTTTTCCCCTACGCCCGCATCCCTCGCCTAATCAGCTAAATGTATTTCTAATTATTAAAAGTTCTCGTGAGATATTCCTTACTTAAGTAAGTTCGGAGTCGAATGCTTCAGAATCCTCAGCTGCAAAATAAATATAAGACCGTAAAGTAAGCACGCAAAAATCTTTAAAAAATTATTTCCAAATTTTAAGAGGCTTAAACAACAGTTTTTTTGTCTTTGTTAAAAAACTTAAAGCTCTTAAGTTTGTTAGGGGAAGATTGCAGTTTAAAATTGTATATCGTTAGCGATACTTATTTTCTGCGTTTAATCCTATTTAAGTCGCATATAAGTACTAAGCCTCTTCGTAAAGTCCATTACCGACTTTGCAATTGAAATGGTATGAGTAGGATTGGCCAGTTTCTCCTAAGTGGGGTTAGTACTGTAAAGTATGGGAAAACCTGGTAGCAATAATGATCGTAGACTGTTTTCTCATTTGTAGTTCAACTAGATAGGTAGATGAAAAATCTGCGAATTAATTAAATATATACTTCCTTTTTTTAATACGGTTTCCACAGGTATCTATTAACTATCTTTAAAATAAAAAATATATGGTTTAATAACGTTTTGATCCGCTGAGCTGGAATAGGAATATATTCACGCCGAGTTATATTTTTGTTTTTTAATTTATACGAATATACTTTTAAATGTAGTATTTGATTAATATTTCAGAATATTTTTTTTTCCATATGAGAAAATGTTTCTTAAAAATGTATAAGTATAAAATTTGTTTTTATTTAAAAACGAGGACAGAAGCTAACATTGGCAAGCCGAAGTTTTATTACCATTGCCGAAATAGCTTGTATACTGCGCCAACTATCCTGAAAAGTATAAAATTGTAAGCGATTTCATCCTGTTGTTTCTATGGAAGCTATAGGATGCAGACGTCCGATCGGCACGCGCTTTTACCCTGATCCAGGTATATATGTATATACAAAATAATAATAGCTGCGTAAACTTGTTTTAGGACGACTGTGAAAGTTTCAGATCGCTAGCTTTTAAACTGAGTTCGCAAAACGGTATTGAAACAGAAAAACGGGCATGGCTATATCGACTACCCTACTGATCCTGAGGGTATTATAAGGAGACATTTCCGACCCAATAAAGTATATATGCTCAGCATCACAAGAAGAGTTAATCTAGCCGTGTCCGTCAGTCAGTCCGTCCGCCTCCCAGCTTTAAAGCTATCTGCATAAGACTTTACCAAAAAATGACTGATAATGAATGAATCGAAGGGGTAATACTTTTATCCCGGCATTTGCTCTGACATTGCTATAACCAAACTGTACACATATTATATATTACAACAGAGCAATATGAAGAGAACGTCCGCAAACTTGATGTTTATTATCTAAGAATTAATCTGACTGTAGAAAAATAGCCAATACTTTAAAATGCCCTTAATTTGATTAATTCCAACCGGGAATGTTGCGGTTGAGCAAGTTGGCACTCATGGGAAAGCTGGTGCCAATTAGGGGGGGATATTTCTAGATAAGTCTACACCATAATTCTAAAGTTTATTAATGTAACATATACAATTTAATTCATGCCCAGCATAAGCAGATTAATGGCGTGTTCTACATTTCCATCGGATATTTCCAAAAAATTAACGTTTTGTGTGTGATTGATGAAGCCCATGGCGGCCATGGTGCGCAGTTGTTCGGTGAAGCGATGTCGGCGATAGCACCGTGGCAGCACATCGCTGTCGTCGCCACCATCATCCTCGTCATCCACATCGTCGGCCGTTGGTGGGGCGAGTGACTCAGGGACGGGGGCCACTGCGGCGGACTCCACGTCCATGGTCTCCACCGGTGACGGTTGCTGCTGTGCCAGCGATTGAAAAGCGCGGGCCAGTTCATTGCGGAACAGCTCTGAGGAGATGGAACCGCTGCCACTGGGTCCACTGCTGCTTCCTGCTCCGCTTCCCAATCCTCCCCCAACTGCTGCCAGTGGCGCCGTAGTGGTCCTTGGCCTCTCATCACCCTGCAGCGCCTCGTCCGCATTTCGCTGGGCAATGTTCGACAGTGAGTTGAACGAGGTGACGTTGGCCAATGCGTTGGCCAGCTGCTGGCGGCTGATCTGCCGGATGTTGGCCATCTCATCACGCCGATTGGCGGCAGCCGCAGCTGCTACGGCGGTGCTGCTGCTGCCGCCACTGCTGCTACTTCCTGCTCCCAGCGAGTTCTCCTCCTCTGACGAAGTCGTCGACTCTGAGGCAGCCTGTTCTTGAACTGAAAAGGGGCAATATTGTAAGTAAATGAGAAAGAAAGTTTGCTTCGACAAGCCGAATTTGGACTTGATTATTCTTGATAAAACTCAAGATATATGGCTTAAATGGCAGAACAACATATTAATTAAGAAACTGCGTGATATATGCGCGTGCTTCCAATAGGGTACATGAAAAAAAACAACAAAGAAAGCCAACTTCGGGAAGCCGAAGGGTATATACCCTTGCAGCTATTGCAAAAATGAAATGTTCTTGAAAACCATTAAAATGATCATTTACTTGCGTATATGTTTAAAAACATTGAAGCTATGATGATTTACAGCTCAATTATTCGATAGTTCCTATGGCAGCTATATGATAACTATATGCTATAGTCGTCCGATCCGGCTCGTACCGGCAAAACAAAAACATTGTACCCTCTGCACGGGTGTATCTTATGCCCTCGTCGGGATTTACAATGAAAGTCTGCAAAAGAATGTGTTCTTACACTGGGTGGCTGAGCTGTTCCTGGCCAGCTCCTTGCGAATGGTGTCCACGATGAAGGGAGCCGCCTCGCAGATGAGTGGGTAATCCTTGACCAGGTTCTGGACCACCTCCGGCTCGTGCAACATATTGAAGAGCACCGAATCGCGGATGAGTGCCTGGGCGCCCAGATTGCGCCTGAATTCCGGATATTCGGCGAGTATCTTTTGCAGGATGTTGAATCGCGAGGTCACGCTGATCTGCAGGTGCGACGTCAGCGAGAACAGCTCCTGGATGTGTTTGGTGTTGATCTCGGAGGCTGCTGGCGGCACATAGGGCGAGTAGCGTTTGGTTTTCCGGAAGCAGTGGATCACGGCGTTGGGCTGCAGCGACCTGCTAAGGGTGTCGGCATCCTCCAGCACTCGTCCATGGTGGATGATCTCTGCAAGTGCGCAGCAGATGACTTAGCACAATGGAGACAACGGGCGGCTCTTTGACTCGCAGGTTCACTCACCCAGTTCATTGGCGTCGAACTGCAGCTGCATCTCCTTGGTCACCAGCGCCTTCAAATAGGCCACATCTCGCTCCAAGTCGATGTTGTGCAGCGGATGCACATCGCTCAACTTGTTCTTGAGCAGCGCGTACAGAGTGTGCATAGTGCGATTAAGTAACTTGCGCGTAAAATTCGTACTTTACTATATTTTGTTTAGCTGATTTTTGTTTTGTTCGAAGGCAGGTCGGAACTGGTTCCAACGGATCGCCCTGGCATCAGGGTGACCAGATTCGATGACTAAACCACGTCAGAGATGGCAGTTTAAAAGGCCCTTTTAAAACGCAAGTGCCGTAAATTGTTTTGTAATTTATTACATTATTATTACAATTTATTACAAATTAAATAGTAAATATATTTATAACAAATTTCATATCTTTGGTGCAGCCATTTTAAATTATTTTAATATCTTAGTTTTTACGCCGCTTAATTAAAGAAACAAATTAAAATATGTTTCGTACAAGTGAACAGTTGAATATATGAGACTGAAGGTGTTGCAAACATCTTCATAGAATCGAATCGAAACTTTTGCCGTCTATCGACCTATCGCTTATTGACAGTTAAGCGCTGTAAATATCTTAAACATATAAATAATACAATTTTGATTGATCATGGCCTCCGCCGGAACTCAGACAGAGAAAAAGCGTAGGGTAACGCTTCCTCCTTCGACACCATCAGATAAAAGTAAAGACACTAAAGAAATTCCCCAAAACGAAAAAAATGAAGATACAACGAGAATTTCTGGAAATGAGTTTAAAAAAAAAGAGCCCACACGAGAGAGTCCTAATGAGCCGATCCTCAGATGCCAATTTGAAGTGTTTGGGATAGTGCAAGGTATGTGTCCGCATACTAAAACGCTTAATTCAAATAATTGTTTTGCAATACCTCTGCAGGAGTTTCCTTTCGAATGGTAAGAGCTCGATATGTGGCAAACTAATTAGTCCTTATACCAGAGAAGTTAGATTGCAATATTGTTTTGTGCGTGAATTGCATGCAGTTTATAAAATTTGAAAAAAGGCTTCTTATTTATATATTCATACAATGTACATATATTAACTTATTATCTTATAATACACGCGCCTGCGGTCATAACAATAGAAGTTGGCGAAGTAAAGTGCTCAAAAGCATAATTTTAAGGCATAGAAACCCTTTTTTTCGTTACCAGTAAACAAAATATGTTTAAAATTAATTTGACATTTTTTTAGTTCTTCAAAAAAAATTTAATCTGTTTATAATTCTGTAAAATTCTCTTTTCAACTGTAGTAAATAATTTTCAATAAATTTATTTTTAATATCTTACCTATGTTTTAAATAAAAAAAATTAAAAAATTTTTCTTTTTCAATAATTTTTTTAATATTTTAAAATATTTATATGATAATAGTGAATCTTTCTATGTGTCCCATTTAGTGTATAGTATAAGCTTCATGAAATTTTTTTCAAAACTAGTTTTGGTTGTTATTTCTATAAGTTAAAAAACTAAAATTTCAAGACCGCAACTACCAATATCTCTTGTTTAAGCCCGTCTCAAACTTTCTAGTATACCTTACGAAGGGCCCAGAAGCTCGGAGTTCGCGGGTGGTGTAAAAACACTACCGATAACACTGTTAAGGGCGAAATTCAAGCATATAGGCACTCCTTTGAGTCCATGTAAGTGCTCTTATTTGTATTAACCGATGTTTCTAAATATAAGGTTTATTCCACAGGCGCCTCTGGCTAAAGCATACCGGCAGCCCCACCAGTCGAATCGACAAGTGCATCTTCAGTGAAACGACTGAAATCCCAGAGTTCACATTCGGCAACTTCTCAATTGTGGTGGATTAGTTAGTTGTATAAGGACATTTCAATTCTATTATTTTAGTCTTGTCTTACTAACGGTTATTTTTTGTTTGCATGTGAATTACAAACTTTTTAAAGTTGGTGGATAATACGAGTTATAACTTTAGGGGCTACAACCTTTTTTCTAACGCTGGGAGTATTAATAGGTTAATGGATAGAATCGAACCGTTGTCGAAAAAAGATTATTAATGCTTTATAGTTTTGGTAGAGAATGTATGTAAACAAATTTTTATGCGATATAGGACTTTCAAAACCAAGGATTAAAAAAAACGCGTTTAAAAGTTTTTATTCTAATTCAAATGGCCGATAAATTACGAAATTTAACAGATTTCACTTTAAAACTTTGAGAGCGTATTCTTGATATATGAAAGTATCTGAGTAAAGGAAATAACCCCCCTGAAGCGACCTTAAGCGTTAAAGAGTGTCTAAGAGTAATACTCTATTAAAAAAATTATTTTTATTCAAGTTTTATGAGACCAGACACAAATAATATTTTTACATAAAATATTAAAGTTTTTTCTTAACAAAACAACAATTTATTTGAATTGTGAGTTCTTAAATTTAAAATTGTTTTAAAATCAATTTAAATCCAAACTTTTACATGGTAAAATTTACTTTGTTTCATTCAACGGTGAGATGTTCTTATGAACTGATAAATAAATGTTTGCCGTTAACTCGAACTTATATAAATAAATAACGATTAGTAAGACCGTGCATTGAATAGGGCAGAATCTCCCTTGATTCGGTGGGCCGGCATACCGAATGGGTCGTAAATCGTTTTCTTATTCCAAATCCAATCGTCGAAGCAACAGGTTATACCCCAGCATCTTCGTTTATTCTGTTCAGCAAGTGTGTCCAGTACAAAATTCTCAATAAATATAAAAATGGCCTGCAACAAGTTCCTAACGTTTAACAATGGCGAGAAGATGCCCGTGATTGGCATCGGCACCTGGCAGGTAATTATAGTCACGATTTTAGTTAATTCTATAAATTAAGGGCAATAGTAGTGGTTAATGGGGTTCGACCATGATTGTTGCAATAAACAACAATAAACGAGCTCAATAAAGAGCTGACACGACATTTAAATCTCTTCGAGAGCCCAATGCAATCTGTTTGTTTTTGGCACTTCAGACCGGTTTTCGAAAACAAACCACAAACTTTTATTGATATAGCTGAGTTGGTAAATTTGACTTTCTCTGGACCCCGGAGACAATACTAGGGGGCTCACAAGCTGTATATATATACAATCTATATATATAATCACAACCACTAAACCACATGTACATACATCACCACACTTTAGGCGTCCGATGAGGAAATTGAAACCGCCATCGACGCGGCTCTGGAGGCGGGTTATCGTCATATAGACACGGCGCCAGTCTATGGAAATGAGAAGGCCATCGGAAGGGTCCTCAAACGATGGTTGGACGCTGGAAAGGTCAAGCGGGAGGAGTTGTTCATTGTGACCAAGGTGCCACCTGTTTGTAAGTGAAATGTACCCATGTAGTTTGAGTGAAAAATCTTAAACATGTACCAATAAATCTATTAACACAAACTATGACAGAAGTCAAATTCTTGAAAATCATCTTTCTTTTAATCACAGCAAAAAATTTCACCATATCAATCAGAATATCAAAATAAACTTTTTCTATATTTATATAATGAATTTTAAAATTGGTTTCTTATTAACTTGCGAATTTATATGATTTATGAATCTAATCTTTATACTGACTATAATTTTTTTAATAGTTAATTAATACCTTTTATAACCTGATTAATAGCAAACTATAAAATGAATAACAAAAGTATAATCCGTCTAGCCAACCGACCGCATGAGATTGAGCCGACCATTAAGAAATCGCTGGCCGATTTGGAGCTGGAATATGTGGATCTATATTTAGTTCACACTCCCTTTACCATCAATATCAACGAGGACGGCAGCTTTAAGGTAAGACAGCGCAGTATTTTATAAGAAATTAATCGATTATATATTTTCATTTTCAAGCTTGACAAGGATGGTCTGATGGAAGTGGACGTGACTACCAATCACGCCGCCATCTGGGCGGAAATGGAGGCGCTGGTGGAGAAGGGACTCGCCAAGTCCATCGGCGTATCCAACTTCAGCAAGGAGCAGGTGGCCCGTCTGCTGAAGAACTGCAAGATCAGGCCGGCCAACAACCAGATCGAACACCATGTTTACCTCCAGCAGCGGGATCTGGTCGACTTCTGCAAGTCCGAGAACGTAACCGTAACCGCCTACTCTCCGCTGGGATCCAAGGGCATTGCCAAGTTCAACTCGGGCGCCGGCATCGTAAGGGATTTGCCCGATCTGATGGACATCCCGGAAGTCAAGGAGATTGCTGCCGCTCATGGCAAGACGCCGGCCCAGGTGCTGATCCGCTGGATCATCGACACCGGTGTGTGCGCCATTCCCAAGAGCACAAACCCCGATCGCCTCAAGCAGAATCTGGATGTTTTCGACTTCGAACTCACCGCGGAGGAGGTGGAGAAGTTGTGCAGCCTGGATCAAAACATTCGCATCTGTGACTTCGCCTTCTTCCATGGGTATTTAAATGCAATTTTCCTTTCCAGACTTTATTTTAAGATAATTTTGGCATTTCTTGCAGTGTGGAGAGGCATCCGGAGTTCACCTTTAAGAATCAGTACACCAACTAACATCATCTTTATGTTTAAATATATATATATGAAGTCTTAGAAGACGAAAAAACTAATTATATTTTTGTTAAAAAATCATTATTTTACAAAGTATTTACAACTTTATCCACATTTGCATAATCTGTGTTTATTTTATTGTTATACCCATAAATTCTTCACAATGACTTTCTTTAGTTTTTTTCGGCATTCAAGAGATGAAATGTTTTAGTTTTGGTTACAATTTTCAGCTCAACAGGTTTCCCCCCTCCCACAGACTTTCCATCTGTGACATCGTTCGTTTTTTGTGTGTTGTCGTTTACGGTTTCGTTGACCCCATGAGCGATTGAGCTGGAAAATAACTTTCAAATTAGGAAAAGCTCGCATTCAGCGCAGGTTAAAGTTAGTATAGAAATATATTTGCAACACATTTTACATTTAAGTTTTAACAAATCACAAGTTTACATTAAGCAATTAGTAGCGAGCACATTATCGGTACTTAAAGCCTTTGGAAATGTTTCGCGACTACAAACAATTCGAGGTACATATTGTATGTAAAAAACTAAGATCGATAGCAGAGATACAAAGGTGCGGTTGCTGTTCAGACGGCATCATGAATATCTGAATTGTTTAGTAAAAATAAGAACCAAATTTGCAAATCGGATGGATTAGCAACTGCGAAACTATTAACAGCGGTCAAGAAAAACGTCAGCTTTACTCTAGGTTATGATATTTGGGCCAATCTTATTTTGATTGTCAAATTTTTGGCCATACAGCTTAAGTTAGTTTGCAGTTCGAGTATTAAAAGGAAATTCGTAGTTTCTGTCCCATGCTCAACTCACGTGGTCCGCGTCTCCTCGTCAGTGCTGTGCCTGTAATATAGTAAAGAACTCTAATTAGTCATCCTAAACTACATGTAACGGAACGGGATGTACTCAAAGCAAGCCAACAAAATCACTCACTTCAATCCTCGGGCCGCAGAAGTCTGATAAAGTTCATACTTTGCATGCAAATCAAACAAATTCATCGTAATGGCCTTCCTAAATCTAATTTACCTGTTCTCTTGATGGCTGCGCATGGCCAGAGTGGCTACCTCGAAGAGACCGATGAAGAAGCAAAGCATCAGGGGTCCGAAGATGGCTCCCTGCCAGCCGATCCAGTACATTCCGCCCGCAATGGCCAGACCATTAAGGTAGGGATGGCCACCACTAAGTTAAAGAAACCCATTTTTAAAAAATATATGATTTTAGCCATTCAAAAATTGACTCACCCTTTAAGGTCCGCATAGATGGCCGTTTCAAAAGATGAGGGCACAAAGAACTGGAGCAGGAAGAGTATGAGTCCTGCATAAAAGCGATCCTGGGCCAGCCAGAGCTCTAAGAAGGCTGGCACCGCACACCAGTAGCTGCCCAGGAAAGGAGCAGCCGCCAGCATGGCCGCCAAAGCGGAGGGAAGAAACACTATCCGGGCACCAAAGACCGTGTGCACCAGCCAGGTGAACAAGCCCGTAAATGTGGAGCACCTGAACATGGAGATTAGGACCACGGTAATGGAGTTTTCCAGGGCATCGGCGATTTTTATGCCCGAACTGGAATAGCCCAGGTACTTGGTAATTTGAAGCGGCGCGTACTTTTCCTGACTGCTCGACAGCAGATAGAACAGGGCCGTAAAGAATACAATCTAAAAGAATATTATAAAATAGTGAGAAAGCATTCGATTTAACTTTTGTTTGCACTCTTAATTAACGTACATTTTAAAAAACAATTACGTTGTTAAGTTTTATGCTCTTGAGTTACATTAAAACATAATTTAAAGTGCTACTTAAGGAATGTGTATAATCATACAGTCACAAACAAATTTATTTACACTCACCATGTCCAATATAAACTCTATGCACGCCTGTCCACCAGATAGCACCAGGGACAGGATCTCTCCTGTCACGCCCATGATCATCGAAAGATTGGTTCGGATGATGTGCCAAAGAGACTCAGCGACTTCGAGGATCGTCTGGGTGTTGCTCTGCGCCCAGCCGATAATGCCCTGTTTTGCCACTAAAACTAGCTCTTTAAAATGTCCTTGGTTAAATAAACGGCAGTTGGTTAGCAGATGCAACACAGAATGAGTTATTTGGTAGACGCAAACGAGTGTTACGGGATGGATGAAACGAGCAGGAACTCAATAAAAACCCGAAAACCCCAAAAATGAACTCAAAAATTAATTAGTAGAAGGGACAAAATAAAATAGAAAGAAGCCCTAGAGAGGCGGGTAAAAGCTTACCTGGATTGTCGACGATCTCGCCAAAAGTGCTTTTCAGCGCATCCGTGGGCACCCGCGGACCGTACGAGCTGCCAGCCTTGTTGAAGTCAATCCAGTACTGGATTAGTCTGTCCCACACCTCGAGGATCTGTTCCTTCAGCTTGGTGGCGTGCACCTTGTCCGCGTCCGCCAGCCAGTCGTCGATGTATGTCTCAATCTTTCGGCGCCCATAATGGTGCGCGTTATCTAACGCATCATCGATGGACGCCTGCATGTTGGCGGGCAAGATATCAATTAGCTCAGGCCGATCTGTGATCGTCTTGTTAATTAGATCCTTGCCCAGGTACGCCACCTCAATAGTCTCCGAGTAGATGTTCACGCAAAAGAACACGCTCAGAAAGACAATGATGAGCAGCATGAGGATGATCATGAGGATGGAGGTAACTGACTCCACGGACGACTTCAGAGAGTCCCGTACGATGGTGTTAATCTTGTAGTTTAGTTCCAAAACTCCCGGCAGGCAGAGCGGAAGCACGGCGGAGTGGTGATCGATGGCCCACAACTGTAATTGGTTTGATATTACTTAAATATGTATTTTAAATAATCGATTTTGGCCAAAAACCCACCCGTATTGCCGCGTAGACTTCGTTGATTTGGCAGCAAGCAAACTTGAAAATGCCTGTGTAATCTCCAATTGTATAGATGAGGTGCAGCAATACTGGAATAGCGGCCAGGATAAACATCCACACGTTGCGATACAAAAATGTGCCCAGGCAGGCGTAGAACAAGAGCTTAAAGAACGTATCGCTCTGGTGACTGGGAGTCTCGGCTCCCGGCTTAGCATCGAAGGTGTCCGTCGAGTCAACCGTGTCGCTCAGCGAGACGTCCTCCACATCCGATTGTAAACCCGGACTCAGTGGCTCACTGCTCGGCCTGCCGCAAATGCTGAAGTTGCTCAGCGATCGCTCGAAATCGTTCTTGTCGAACAGCTTCTGCAGGCGGTGCAGGTAGGATCCGGAGTCATCTATCGTCTGCAGGTGATATGCCGTCGATGCTGTTACGTAGGCCATGACCAGCAGGAACACAGGCACCTGCAGGGCACCCAGAAAGCTGCTCAGATAGCCTGCAACTGCTATCCACATGGATTGTCCGGCAACCACGAAATGAGAGCTGTTTTCCGGCTTCCAGAAGAAGTGGACGCAACTCAAGTAAACCAGCACTAGGCTGATGAGCTGTATGAGAAAAGAGGATAAGATCATTTTTGAATTTATATCTTGGCAAAGAAAAAATGTGTGAAAGACGGAAGAAGAATATTTTTTATTATTGTTATTACATTATTTCGTTTGAATAATAGATTGGGAGCTGCAAATAATGAGTATTCATGTTTTTTTTAGTCAAAAATCAATCACTTAAAAATGACAAACAAAAAAAGAGAAACACCCTTTTGATCCTCTTTGGCCAACCTATCCATTTTCTCAAAGATTTTAAAATTTTTTAAAAATAAATATTATTTTTAAGTAAAACAAATAAAAATCAAAAATATTAATTTAAAAATAATGAATATTTTAGACTTTGATAATTAAAAAAAACAAACAAGAAAGGAACCAAACTTCATCATATTCTTGAAAACATTAAAATTATGATTTACTTGCGTATATGTTTAAAAACATTGAAGCTATAATGATTTGCAGCTCAATTACTTGATAGTAAAGTTTCATGCAGATATATTCAAAACTGAGGGACTAGTTTGCGTAGAAACGGACGGGCAGACGGACAGACGGACATGGTTAGATCGACTCTCCTAGAAATGCTGATCAAGATTATATATACTTTATAGGGTCGGCAATGTCTCCTTCACTGCGTTGCAAACTTCTGACTGAAATTATAATACCCTCTGCAAGGGTATAATAAACTACAAATAATGATTATTGATAATTTGTACTAAACTAATTTTAAAACTGCGGCAGATTTTTGATGATTTTTTTCATGCCCCTATAAAACGACACTAAGGATGTTACCCTAGTCAAAAAAAAGTATATATACACTGATTAAAATACGTCCATCTGTTTCAGTGACTTAGTGAAATTGGTGTATCGTCATAAAATAAACAAATAAATTATAAACAATAATATACCTGTGTAGATAAAAAGCTTTGTTGGAGCGCGACGGTTTAACAAATTTCTAAAATGTGTTTTTATTAAGTTGAATGCTTTTTTTTTTCGACACAAAATATATATTAAAAATTTTGTGCGTCGAAGATGCGATAGCCATGTCCTTCTGTCCCTTTCAACACAAACTTGCAGGTTTATATCTCAAGTAGGAAAAAAAAAACTTTGCTGTTTTTTAATTTTTGTTTATGGTTATTATTTCAGATTTATTTAAAATTGAATAAAATCGGACGACTATATAAATTAGCTACCATGGGAAAAATCGAAAAATTAAAAAAAAAAAAAAAAATAAGCGAACAAACATTTTAAGTTTCCTTTTTTTTGACTTTAATCGGAAAACAATACTGACTTATGGCATTAAAAATATACGGAGTTAAGCCGAAATTTACGTATTTTAAAGAATATTTAATTTAATGGCTGCCATAGTATGTAAACTTCCGCTGGACGAAGTTTGCCTCTTTCTTGTTTTCTTAACAATAAATAGAGAAAATACATTTTTATGACTTTTATAAACTGAAACAAATTTTTTGTAATCACAAATTTTTTGTCTCTTTCTACATTTTGATTGTTGTCAAATTTCAACATGAAATATTCTTAGTTTTATTTAAAGAACCAATTATAATAAAAGGAAAGGAAGGCCACCGCAGCCACTGCCTCGGTAGACAAGTTAAATATATTAAAGAAAATGGGGTTCTTTTTTTCAGATAAAAATTATCTTACATAAATATTAATATTCTTTGTTATTAATATTAAAAAAAAAGTGCTATAAATATTAAACATACACAAATTGGATAAATTTTTTCGTTTAAAAAAATTAAACAGAAAGGCGGATGTACGACTGATTGTAGAATTGAGTGTAAATGCGTGTAAACGGATTTACTAATACAATGATTCACCATTGAGAAATTAAACCATAGACTACTTACCATATAGACGTTAAGGAACCCAATAATTTTGACAAATAGCCCGTGCGAAAATGTGATCCAGTGCCAGAGGGCCAGCAGGAAGCCTTGTGGAGCGTACAGTACCAACAGCTTGATGCACCCGGCCACCCCGCATCCGGCCAGGAGCAGCTGCCAGTGCTCGCAGAGCCATCCGATCAGCAGCCGGCCACAGTGCTCCGTGGCCTCCAGCGGCGACAAGCAGATGGACACCAGTACGTTCGAGTCGCGCTCCTCCAGGCGCTGGAACCATCTGTTCACGCTCTCCGCCAGTCGTCTCTTGAATGGAAAGAGCACTGCGCCCATGAGGAAGGCCCACAGCAGTGGTCTGACGAAGGGTCCGAGGATGAAGCAGACGGCCACGAAGGCCGCCACTCCGGCAGCGATCAGGAAGTTATACATGGCGGCGCGAAAACTCTCATGGTTCTGAGACCTCATCCGGAGCAGACGATTGAGAACGCTGTCGAAGGATCGATCTCGTCGAATATGAATCGGTTCAGAGCGGTTCATCTTGGCCCGGGGAAACGGAGAGCTGGAGGAGAACACAAAAACAGGGTTAGAACTCCATGTTTACATATATGGAATGACTAATTTCGAAACTGCTTACTTTTACGTAGTGTTCTGCGGTCAGCAACAGATGATTTTCATCGGAGCGAGGAACAATTCCGGAGGGGGTGACGGGTTGAATAGTTTTTGCAACCAGACGTGGTCATTGGAGGCGGGCAGCAGCAGCTTCCCATGCGTTTTTTTGGGCGGGGGAGCGGGCGCACATAAACAAAAATACGTCGCTTTTGGCCAATTACGTCAGCCGGGCTGGGCTGTGAAGTTAGACGCTGTGCAACACTGGCAGAAAGCCGATATACCACAGTCTGGCTATTCCCAAAACGTCTGAATCTCTTAATTGCTGAAAATTTAGCAATTAGCAATGCGATGCTGATATACAAAATTATATATTTTTTTTATCTATATTAATATCTATTGCATTAGTGTATTTAACTAAAAACGTAATATTTGTAATAAATATTTTTTAATTGGAGTGACTGTTGTAACTGTAACATATAGCGAGTGTTCACCGTAACCATTTGATGCAGTTCAGCGTTGGCCAATACTGGTCTTATTTCAAAACAATAAAGAACTAGAGCTGGCGAAACATCGATGTTCGCGGACATCGATGTTTTTGATTTTTGAGTTCTTGTAATGGTAAACAAAAAATTGTATTCATAAAAAAATATGCTCCGCCGATTAAAACACTGCCAGCTGAATTTTTTAAAATATCTAATACACTTAATAATTTAATTTACAAATTTGATTTTACTAATTTTCTTTTCGATAGTTGCCAAAAAACATCGATGTTTCCATCGTTGCTTCCCCACCTCTAAAAGAGACGCCATGGAAAGTGAGCGGGTTTTATATTATCTTTGTTTTTATAAAATTCTTCTACGAATTATTTGCAGATTTAACGCTACAGCAATTGATTGATCTCCAGAATATACAGAAGGAGTTAAACTGCAACAAGGACACCTACTTAAAGACCTACCGCCAGGTCCTCAAAAAGAAATGTAGAATAGATCTAAACAATTTGGTAAGGGATAATGGGAAATCGTAATTTTGAGATTAATAAACTTATCTCTATGTTCACAGGTTCGGGCTGACTTTGACATTGTAGAATCGGAGTTAAAAGTTCCATCATTACCGCCCCTGCCTGTCGAAGAAGACAAAAACGCGTCCACGGTAGTCTTGAATTTGTTCTAATATGACTAACAGCCTCCATTTTTAATGAACACATTGTTTACAAACAGTTTTGCAACACGGTGAAAGACTACGACTTCACTAAGTATTGTTTGTCCTTGCTGTAGGACTGCTCCGATCGATCCTTTGCAGTGTTCAGCCAATATCCGTGCAGGACCCGATATAAGTGTTGCAGACACTCAAACGAGGGAGATTGGCTCTGAAAAAAAAGAGTTCACAAGTCAGTTCAAGGAAAAGGAAACGAGATCGCGAAACTTACATTAAATAGGGGTACGATGGGCCGTGTCTTGAACTGGCTTCCTTTCGTTCTTAATATCAGCATATACTTCACATCTAACTGATGGAGAAATAGAAAGAATAAAACTAAAATTAATAGTAAATCCTTTTTAACGAATTTCTAACTGAAAGCCAAGTCTCTTCTTAAGTCTTCAACAAAACTAACATTCTGAAAATCTTCAGAGATTTCTAAGACTAGAGGAGATCACTAGTGCTGTTTGTTCTAGCAATAAAATATAAATCAAGATATATATGAGTTCCTACATCTTCAATGACTTCGTTGAGCACAATATCCTGTATGTGTCCTCGCTGGATGCACAGCACAGATTCCCTGCCGAAGGATCGCACCGTCTCCGTCTGTAGAGCCATGTCCCAGCTGTAGAACAATCGTTCTGCCTGCACCAAGTTGAGGGTGGCTCGGATCATCAGGACGGCCACGGAAACACAAGTAACCAGCGGGTACAGGATCCGGGGCTGCAGCATGCCGAGGTTTCTGCTCCCAAAGCCACATACTCCGGCAAAATAGGCGATGGCCAAGAAGACGAGCAGCAGCAACCGGCGTATTTTGCGCTGCAGTTGGATTCCATGGAGCCGGTTCACTAATTCGATTCTGACCACGTCACCGTCACAGTGCTTGATGCAGAGTTCCAAGTCCGCATCAGCAGATCCGGAGTACTTGGCTTGCCGGCTGTAATATCTGTGGATCGTGACTTGAGGTTCCATTTCTTTTTCTTATTTACGTTTTTGCAGTGTGCCATTCGCTATTTTTCTATGAAATTCCAAAACGCCTTACACAATACGGTCACACTCCGTAGTAGGTATAGAACTTTGATATTTATTTAGACACAAACCAGTGTGGCCACTTTCGCGCCTAATTCAAATTATTTATTCGAATCAATCAAACTGCGCATAAATAAACAAAACACGCGTTAGTATCGTAAATGCATTGTAATCACCGTTACTAGTTTGTTTTACGGCCTCACTTTGCATGTGAATAAAAAGTTGTCTGTGCCAGTCGAAAAATAATAAATAAAATGCATATAATATATAATCTTAATTGAATTCATTTTAAATTTACTGCCTCTTCACATGCAAATCCGCAGTGCAGATTATTCCCCCATGTTGGAGGGCTCACGAATTGCCCGACTTGGAACGCACAGATCCATCAATTAATGTTAGTTAGCTGATTCGTTTGGTTTCTGTGTCAACCAGCTGACCTTGATATATTTTCACGATGGCCGATCAATGTTCAAACACGAACGCCTTGCGCAATTTCTAATGTCTCTCTTGTTTTTATGCGCGTACTAAATCCCATCTCCACCTCCACCTTTGTGTCTTCATCTGCTTCGCCATCGTCATCAGTTTGCGTCTTCTCTTGATTTTTGGGAGATCAAGCTGGTCGCGTCGATCGATTTGGTCGGAACTTGTTTGAGGGGCAGTCGACAAATGCGGCAGAAATGGCGCTGAATGGGAAGTCCAGTCGTCGTCGTCGTTTAAACTCAATGCTTTATTGTTTTAAATATTTTCTAACGCGCGGCCATCTCTACTTAGGTGCTGGTGCTAAATCGAAATTGGCAGGTCTTGATTGGATTCGAGCTTTAATCACGGGTTCGTTGGGGGGCGGGTGACAGGAGAATGACTCGTGTATCGGCTTGTTATTCTTTCCTGCCTTTGGTATTTCACACTTTCGATTGCATTGCCTCAGACCAAAAATTCCACGTTAATGCGAAGGCGAGAATGATTTGCAGAATCGGAAAATGCCACTTGACTTAACAGTTATTTAATAATCAGAAAAGCAATAGCAGTATCAACAATGGCGTCGGTTCACTGGAATCCAAAGTTGCGGAAGAAAATTAATGATTTCTCAAGTTTCATTAGTTGTTATAAAAAAATATAAACTTAAAAAAGAAACCTGCATTCCGTTTGTATTTTAAAGTCACCAATTCAACAAACCGAATGCAACATTGAAAATTTATTACTGAAATGATTTTATTAATGTAGAATATTTTGTATTTTTGAAAAAAAATATATATTTGTGTTCCGAAAATAAAGAATCAAGGACGTTGGGTTTTTTAAAATTGAAAAGGCTACAGATGTGTACATAGAATTTATTGTTTATGTTTTTTTTTCTACAAAATCTACAAGTACTCATCAAAACAGTTAAATTTGTTACTCTAAATTTTGAAAACGCTGTGATATCCAAATGCGAGTTAAGCTAGATAAGCCCAGATACCTTTTAACTAGTTTGGAAAAACCGGAATTCAAAACTGAAGTTGAGCCTGGGTTGAGTAAAACATGAATTTGCAAACAATCAAACATTTTCTGAACCATATTTATTAAATATTCTAGATTCTAGGCACTGCATTTCCTTTCAGTGCTCCCGTGGTGCAATGCAACGTGGCGGCTGCCTTTGTGGCTTGAGGGCTTTTGAGACTATGGCATCAATCATCTTGGCTTGCACAACTGCAGGGAGGGGCTGTCCGAGTGGCTCGGACTTAGACTCAGTGCAACTATTCGCACCTGATGTTTGCTCTATAAAGCTCATTGGTCCTAGTCCGATGTATAATTACTCCTGACGCGTGCTTGAATCGTTTTGGGAAATTCACGAGTGACGCGACCTTGAACTCAGGTTTTTTTTTTTCTACCGCCAAGCGTGGATAAGGCCAATAATACTAACGAGAGTCCAAAACAAGCGCCACAAAAACACTCCTAAGCTTGGCCCAATAAACAATGGCTTTGGCCGACGATCCACACCCACACCCACACCGACCAGATGCTGGACAGAAATGGACGCGGTCCATCTGCGTGTCATCATTACGATCGTCATCTGGCTCGTCCGACTGAGACCCGAATTGAAGTCAATGCTTCTGGGCCGAAGGTTGTTCCATTAAGCATACGTGACGTGTGCTCGCAAAAACCAAAACAGCAGACCACGCGGCGAAGCCACGGCAAAAAGTCATTGTACTCCTGCCAGGGGATGAGCACCGGAAGAGGCCGCCGTCGAGCCAAAAAACCGGACGGATGCGGCCATCGGGGCCACTTTTATTTCGGTCTGATTGATGGTAAGCATAAGGCGGGTAAATGGAACATGCGAAATCGATCGGGGTCGCGGCAAAGTTCCTTCAACTTGGCAAATGCATAATGCACTTTGTAAAATTAACATATTCAAAAATATATATTGAAATCGAACATAAATCGGGCACACATTTATTGTTGCAAACAAAAAGCCACTTACAAATTTCATTTATTTATACATTTTCAGATTCGCTTAACATTTGGATTTGTGTGTAAATTTTCGCAAAAACTCAAGGTCTTATTTGGTAATAAAGTGATCATTAAGTTTGTTTTTCAGTTTACATAAATTATGTTTCACCTAAACTAATGACATAATAGGTGTATGTTCAAATTTATAACAGAACATATTCTTAACCAGAGAGCAGACTTACTTTCCTACACAGGTAAAAGAAAACATTTTAAGTGTCACTATTTCATGATCTAATCAATAATTTTTCCTTATGATTTACAACCACACATAAAAATAGTAAATATAAATATGTCGCATAGTTATAGTAGTTCAAAATATTTAGTTTAAATAGGCGGCATAGTAAGCACAGTAACTAGTTTCGTATTTAGTTTAAAAATTTCAAACTTCAATTATATAAGTATAAATATTTAATTTAAATTGAATTCATATTTAAAATAAACAAAAGCCCATTTTTAGGTTTAACCTATAGTATTATACTTTTAATTTAAATATAGATTGTATTTAAATTAAACATGGCACACTTGTTAACGAGGTACACCTTTTTTAATTATTTTATTTAGTTTTTAGTAGCTTTAGTTGTTTGGAAGTTGTGGGCGTGAGAAATCTAGCTTTTGTTAAGCCGTTTTTCGGCTAAACTAGCTGGTTTTCGAAAAAGTGGTAGCACAAACGTTTTTGGGGCGAGCTGTTTAACCCAGTAAAAAGGGTTTTGAGACCATAAATCAAAAATTTCAAAAGAGGACAAATGTAATTTCAAAAATGCTCTAAACATTTTATTTGTTGAATATCTTTGAACGGATTATCGGATTGTAATGACCGATGTGTCATTGGACGCGTAAAAAGCCAGAATACTACAGTGCCAGTTTTTTTGCTCCTTCAACCACAACAGCTCCATCATAAGGACACAATTTTTTCGCACTTTCACCACCATTTTTTCGGAATTTAATGACTTTCTAAAACTTTTAGTATGCACTAACGTCTTTGAAACCGCTACCTTTCGATCGCTATTTCATTTATTAAGATCGGACTATTCGGATCTTTTTTTTAAGAATATTCAACATGTGCATGTGTGGAAAAGAATGGACAAATTATGTCGAACTTTGTCGCATGCAGTTAAATTACAGTGGAGTTTAAAAAACAAGCTGCAAATTCGGGTTATATTCAAAGGATTGATGTCAGACATAAATACATAGTCCTATATCTTAATATTGTAATTACTTAAGCAGAATATTAAATATAGTTAGAAAACAAATGTTTCTTCTGTTTAAAACAAAGAACAAACATTTGTAAATAGATTATTGACCATTGGTGTACGAATTCGAATTTAATATTCAGCCGAGGGCTTGCGTTTGCTTCTTTGCGTTTACGCATATTTTTATGTGTTTACGTAGAAAAAAGCGAAAAGAATGCAAAACGAAAAGCAAACACACAATCTTCGTTTTTTAATTGAAGTTCCTGTCTAAAAGGATAAAAAGTTAAATAATATTTTTATAAAACATTATTCGATTAGCTATGTTGGATAGTTACAACTTTTCATAGAAAAACTAGGATGCTAAACTTGAATCTTATATGAGTTAATTCTTTTTTGCACAACTTTAATACAGTTTTTTAATTTTTTTCATATTCAAAACAAATATCATCATGTTTCGGATAAATTTTTAAATTGTTTCAATCAAATATGAGACAACAATCACAATACTTTACGATTTTGCAAAATTTTAAAATAGTAAAAACAACGATGGAAAACTTTGATTTTAATATGGGCAATATCTTTTTAAATATGATTCACTTTGAGTATATTAAGTTCATAATTCACTAATGGTTTAAATATGTTTTTTTTTTTATTAAAATCAATGATTTTTATAGTTGATTTGACTACGAAAATATTATGTAATTAATTATAAAAATTTTTGATTTCACTAACGTTTTTTTTCCGTTTATATTGGATGATAAAGATTTACAATTCTTACCAAATGGAAAGTTTAGCATCATAGCAAATTTGATTTAACAAATATTATTTCCAGCTGATCTAAGATCGATCCACTGTCAATTTTTCCGCTAGTCATATAGCCACTAGAAAGGCCCTTGAATCGATTGGAAGACGCGTGTTCCGGATAATTTTGATGGGATCAGCAAAGGGCTACCGATTCATGCATATTCATCATCTCCCCCGCCAACTATTTGCACATGCTAATACGGCGCGGCTAGATTACATGGTCAGTTACGTGTTGTTCGGTTAGAATTCCGCAAAAAGATCTTGTACGCTTCGGCCATGCAGCGAACTTTGAGACCAAAAAAGCAAATGTTTGCTCTGTTGCATTGCTTTGGGTTTTTTTTTTATCGCAAAAACGCACTGGTGAGACTTTTAGCAGGTAAATTAGAATTAAAGTAGTAGAGGTCTCGTTAGCTGAGGCTTGGCCAATAGTCAACCAAAGTCGCTGTCAAAGTTCGATCCGGACTCAGTTGGCAACCCCTTTTCTAATTA